TTAAGCAAAGATGTATGTGTGACTTCTGAAAATCACTCAGGTACATTGTTACATGAGGATAGAGTAGTTTAATTAGTACTGAGGTCCAGAGTTGCTGTGTGCCTGTTTTAACAGGGGGGAACCAAATATCCTGGATGCCAGGAAATGATGTTTCCCCTAATATTTAAGCAAAGATGTATGTGTGACTTCTGAAAATCACTCAGGTACATTGTTACATGAGGATAGAGTAGTTTAATTAGTACTGAGGTCCAGAGTTGCTGTGTGCCTGTTTTAGCAGGGGGGAACCAAATATCCTGGATGCCAGGAAATGATGTTTCCCCTAATATTTAAGCAAAGATGTATGTGTGACGTCTGAAAATCACTCAGGTACATTGTTACATGAGAATACAGTAGTTTAATTAGTACTGAGGTCCAGAGTTGCTGTGTGCCTGTTTTAACAGGGGGAAACCAAATATCCTGGATGCCAGGCATTTTTTTTGATGGGGGATCTATAGAGGGGTCAACACCTTCCAGATGCAATAAACCAAAAACCACACTAGATGATTCAGAGGGAAATGTAAAACTGTGCTTAGAATTATTTTTAAAAAATCATACTAAGCCAATGTCCATCAGATTATAAAAATTACAGATTTTTGTTGCTGTACATTTCAGTAAGATTTCTTCTTTTCTTTGATTTTCAGTGTATCCCATTGCTGAACACTTCATTTATAGAACACTGGATCTACCCTGATTATCCACTGCTCTACACAGATGACAGTAATATTACAGTTAAAACATCATTCATAAATTACCATAAAGAAAACAACTATCGAATATAAGCTTCCTGAGCAGTTTTCTTGGTAGTTGTTAGTGTTCTGCCTTCAAGTAAATAGAGGTACAGAATATCAGGTCCATTAGACAGTCTCCATGTAGTACACAATCTAGTGGCAAAAGCCCAGCTGCATGGCAAGAAAACAATTTCATCATTTGAAAGTACTTAATGGCAAAACATGTTACGTTTAGATTGCATAGCTAGTATGTGTGTCAACACAGCACCATGTGAAACAAACATCATGTGCCCAGTTCCACAACAACAGAACTGGGCACACAACAGCCGGTTAACATATTTCGATCAAACTCCGGTCAAATATTATCATCAAGGCATGTACAGTCGTGGCCAAAAGTTTTGAGAATGACACAAGTATTGGTTTTCACAAAGTTTGCTCCTTCCTTGTTTGTAGCTTTTTGTCAGATGTTTCTAAGGTATACTGAAGTATAATCACAAACATTTCATAAGTGTCAAAGGCTTTTATTGACAATTACATTAAGTTTATGCAATATTTGCAGTGTTGACCCTTCTTTTTCAAGACCTCTGCAATTCACCCTGGCATGCTGTCAATCAACTTCTGGGCCAAATCCTGACTGATGGCAGCCCATTCTGGCATAATCAATGCTTGAAGTTTGTCAGAATTCTTGAAGTTCTCAATGGGATTAAGGTTTGGGGACAAAAATGTCGATGTTTTCTTCCCTGAGCCACTTAGTTATCACTTTTGCCTTATGGCAAGGTGCTCATTAATGCTGGAAAAGGTATTTTTCATCACCAAACTGTTCTTGGATGGTTGGAAGAAGTTGCTGTAAAATGATATTTTGGTACCATTCTTTATTCATGGCTGTGCTCTTAGGCAAAATTGTGAGTGAGCCCACTCCCTTGCTAGAGAAGCAACCCCATATGTGAATGGTCGCAGGATGCTTTACTGTTTTCATGACACAAGACTGATGGTAACGCTCACCTTTTCTTCTCTAGACAATCTTTTTTCTGAATGCCCCAAACAATTCAAAAGAGGATTCATCAGAGAAAATGACTTTACCCCAGTCCTAAGCAGTCCAATCCCTGTACTTTTTGCAGAATATCAGTCTGTCCCTGATGTTTTTCATCATGGGGAGAAGTGGCCTCTTTGCTGCCTTTCTTGACACCAGGCCATCCTCCAAAAGTCTTTGCCTCAGTGTGTGTGCAGTTGCACTCACACCTGTCTGCTGCCATTTACACTCACCTAAAGGATTATTAGGAACACCTGTTCAATTTCTCATTAATGCAATTATCTAATCAACCAATCACATGAGAGAGATGGAGAATGCCGGTTTTGTCAAAATGACAGGTTGGGTCAAAGGTCACAAAGGTCAAATAAATCAAAAAGTGACAGGTCCGGGCTGCAAGCCAGGTGACGTCATGAGATAGTGCGAGGTGGCTATTTTTTTGGCTGTGAGCCAGTTGAGCGTTGGGATAGGGGTTTATTTGTATATAGTTTATTTATTTATTATAATTATTATAATTATTTAATTATTATTTTATATTGAGTAGAGTGTTTATGAGTGTGGTGTTTTGTCTGCATCCACCGGGTGCCGAGCAGG